TTAATCTGATTAACGATTAAAAATTAACGATTAAAATGTTAATCGCGTTTGACGATTGAAATTAATTAGTCGTAATCAGCTGTACGATTAATGATAACATTTTTTTTAATCTTTAATCGGTGGCTGCGATTACGTTTAAATAATTTAAAACATTAATCGTTAATCCAATTAAAAATAAAATCTGATTAATTTGGCTAGTTTGTCCGAGTCTGAAACCAAACACCAGTTATAGTAATTATTTTGTGTTTTACGCTTATAAAAAGGACATAATATAAACAAAAATATAATTATTGTTATTAGTAATACATAAACTGGGATCTTTTACAAACCTAGTTTGTAAAACGTTTGTTGGTATATATCTTAATGAAAATGCACACCAGATTAAATTTAGTCAAATTTACTAACTAATTAAAACATCAATCGATTAATGCCAACATTGATTTCACATACATATCACTATACCAAGTTTCAGTTCTCTCCCACAAATACTTCCAGAGATATGTATGTAATATGAAAATTCAAATTTGTGTGGGAGGGGCCTTGAGTTATCGGACTTACTTTCAGTCTAAGACCATCCTTCCGAAATCCGTAGTAAGTGTACTAAATTTCGTTCTGATCGGAAACCCGGTTAAGGAAGTAGCCTATTTTTCAGTCCAGGTCATAAACCATCTTTGAGCAAAATTTCATTTTCAAACAGGTGGCAATTCTTAAAAAAGTAGCCTATTTTCCAGTGTATGTCATAAGCTATCTGTGTGCAAACTTTCATGCAAATCAGTTCAGTCATTTACTCGTATTAATTTAATTAAACCTTCCTAATACGTGATAACTCTTAAAATAGTAGCCTATTTTCCAACATGGGTCATAAGCTATCTCTGTGCGAAATGCCATGCAAATCTGTTCAGTCGTTTCTGCGTATTAATTTAATTAAAACTTTTTTAACAGGTGGCAAAAAATTAGCCTATTTGCCACTGTAGGTCATAAGCTATCTGCTTGCAAAATTTCATGCAAATCCGTTCAGACTTTTCCGCGTATTAATTTAATTAAACTTTTTTAGCAGGTGGTAACTCTTAAAAGAGGTAGCCTATTTTTCAACCTAGCTCATAAGCTCTCCGTGTGAAAACCTCCATGCAAATCAGTTCACTAATTTCCGCGTATTAATTAAATTAAACATTTCTAACAGGTGGCAACTCCTAAAAAAGTAGCCTACTTTCTAACCTAGGTCATAAGCTATCTGTGTGCAAAATTTC